TGCTGTCCCTGAGGACAATTGTTCCTTTCCCAGGACCGCTAGCCTGTACCGCGTGGCCAAGGCTAGACTTTTCCAAGGCAGACAGTCAAAGCCTGTTTTCTCCAGAAAGGAGTAAATGCAAGCAAGCAATTAAGTTAATGTGTATTTATTTATCAAACAAGTTTCACTTTATCTTTTTGAAGATTTTTGCGGAAATGGCAAGTTAAGGTAAGGGCTTTAAAGGGCAGCGTGCACCCTCTATGTGGTTTAACATTCGCGGAGACTGGCAGCTCCTCAGGAAGGCGTCACGCAGATGATTGCCCTGTACCTGGGTTCCTCATCAAGCCTTGCAACAGCAGGCCTTCATGGCACAAGGCAATGGACTCTCTTTTGGGATGGGAAGAGGTGAACGACCACGCTTACGTGCACACCAGCAAGCAATCGGATCCAGTAGGAGAGCAGTCCATCGCAGCAGCTCCTGTTAAGGCCTACGCCTTACACACGTCGGAGGTTTTACGTTGGCCTAAACTCGGTCTGCTGCACTGAGCGGAAGCTGTCCAAAGGAGCAGCCCTTGCTTCAGGCTCCCATGGGGAGAACCTGATGTGCAGCTGGAGCGCAGGTCCCAGGGCAGACTCAGTTTGAAGGAAGCCGTTCCCTGTGCGCTGAAACTGCGCTACCAACTGCAGCAAGTGGCAATGGTCGGGGGATTTGCTTCAAAACCACACTGCTATGAAGCAAAACGATAATCTAAAAAAAGCAATCGCCTAAGGAGATCACAGTTTAGATTCATGAAGGTATCCAGACACCTACATTTCTACTGAAATCCACAGGAACGTAGGTCTGATCCTCAGGTGTTCCAAGTAGGTGAGGAAAAACAAAATCTGGAGACACAGACGGAGAGGGATCAGTTGAAAAATATTAATGTTCAACTCTCTATTAAGGCAAACCTGTAGAGGAATTATTTTGTTTCAAAATATTGATTCTGCATATCATTCATACATCTGGCCCACGAGGGGGAAACACCGTGTGGGCTACACCACACAAATGAAACTGTAAAATAAACTATGAACAGTTTTTATTTACCTTTATACCTCAGTGTCTGCAGAATGCAATTCAATTATTAATGGAATAACAAAACCAGTCAATTTCATACTGTAGCCAAAGTGGTGTTTAATGCTTCTGCTTTTGTAAGTAACAATTTACAAAATACAAAGTTAAAAATATTAGATTATATCATCTTAACCTGAATTAAAAACAGACCATATGCCTCTTTTAGTATATACATGTAAATAAAGTATCACTCAGGTTATTTTGTGTACAAACCACGGTATTAGGAAATATAAAGAGTATATAATTTTATCAATATAACAAAATTTCACAGTTATACAAGGTGAAGAAAAGTCTTACAAAAATAATTTTGTGGTTCTACTGCAGATTTGACACAAATCTGCTTTAGAGAAATATTCACCTCTCCCAGCCTGCATGGCATTCATCTGTACCTATTACAGCAGCTTTATGATTCTGACTGACAAATCCTGAAACAAATTACAAACACAGTACATCTATTTCAAAAAATACCACGATTATAAACCTTCAATATATTAGACTATTAAACTACAATTTGTTTCCATACTGGCTGATTTATAAATGCATTCCCTACCCCATTAGAAAGCACGGAATAAGGAATCACTTCCTAGCCAAAAGATTCACTTTAAAGTTTATCCAGAAGCGTATGCATTCTCATTTGTGAAAAAGTCAGAAACGATGATGCTCCTAACAGCTAAACATGTTTCTAGTCAGCTGGAGAGGCCGGTTAACACTTCAGAACGCGTAAGACCAGCAGCCGTTTTGCCAGGACCAAGGGAAGCAGACACAGCGACATGCAGCAGGTGCTGCTTTGCCCCGTGAAGCGATGAATGCTTGGACGTAAACGCCGGCTCACAAAGTGAGCAACACCAGTTATTTCATTTTGGGATACTTTACACAGAATATAACCCAAATGTACATCTATCCAGAATACTTTGTTTATCAGCAGCAGCATTCCCAGAGACATAAGTAAAAATCTGTCCAAGTTTTTGTTAGGACTTATGGCCTCCCGCAACAAAGAATAATCTAGAACGCTAATAAAAAGGTACAGCGCAACTACCCTTCTGCCTCCTGCCTTGAACTGCAACTCCTAGAGGTTTGGGTTTTTTTGTATTGTAAGCCAACTCAAGAAAAACAGAAAGGAGGGAGCTGCTATTTTTGACAAATACTAGGAAAAGTATCCTGACGGTGCACAAATGAAGTGTGAGTGTACACACACACTTGAATTCTAGTCATACAGGAACTGCTTCTTAAATATTGAAGATACCAATGCTTAATAAAAAGAGCAAAGTCAAGTTTAACATTCTTCTGATAGCCAATACATTTTTTTATATCCACAAACAATAGCAAAGAAAAAAATACTATTGGAAACTATTGACATTTTCATAATTTCTGTGGTATTTGATGTTCAAGGCTTAGCTATGAGGCAAGAAACGATGCCCGCAACAAAACCTGATATAAAACACTGGTTTTGTATTTGCAAAAAGTCTTTCCATTCAATACGTGTCCTGTTTTTTGGACTCCTCCCATGCGTCTGCCTGCTACTAGTCACTAGAGCATACAGGATATTGAACTAGGTGCTCCCATTTGACCCGGGCTGGTGCTTTTGCAGTAAAGCAACTAGGGAAGATTATCCTGGACACTGAAATGTTAGGGATGCAAAAATTAAAACACTGATCAACTCTGAAGGAATAGAAAGATACAGACGGGTTTGCACAGAAATCTTTGCTAGGGAAGAAAGGCATCACATTTCTGTATCAAAAACTTTTTTTTTAATACTCGCTTTTTCATTACAAATTGTGTTATGATGCAGCAGAGATGGTAACTGCCAAGTGTTTTTCATTCCTTTTCTATTCTGATGTATTTTATTGACAACAGTAAAACTACGTGACAGTGGTAACTGGGATAGGCTGAAAATGAGGGGAGTTAACCTTCCGCTAGCTGTTTCTACACCCCTTTTTGGAGTTCATTTTCAAAACAGATGAAATTGGTAGGGGAATGGGGGGGGGCTTTATTTAAATATTATTATAGAATTGATCTGACACATCCTATATTGTGTTCCTGGAGAATGCAAAAGGCTATAGTTAAAAACAAACAAAAAGAACCCTACTTGTGACCATTTTACTCAAGTTTAGTTTCTACAGCATAGCATTGAGACGTTCAAAATGTACATGTGAATAACATAACTACTCATCAGTTAGACTAGATGTAAACTGCAGCATTACATTTTTAACAGTGTAAAGAAAATACAACAGGCCCATGTTCACACTGCAGGCTACAGAGTGAAAAATAGGATAAAGTTCTCCTATTTTGTTCAGCTGTATAGATGCAGTAATCTCCAAGGACAGCCTTGAGAGTCAGGGTGGATAGTGTAATAAAATACCTGCACAGTGTACAGTAACAATGGGAAGACTGATATGAAAAAATTACATTAAAATCGAACACTAGTATGACTTCATCAGCCTCTGTAATGCAGCCACAAACTATGACCAGTCCTCTGATTTATGTACGATAAGATTTTACAAAAACCAAGTAATGGTTACTCTAAAAGGAGAAGAATTAAAAAGAACACGGCACAAAACCTGTGAGGACCATAAGGAAACCCAGCTGGTTCTCATTTTTACCATATTCCATACCAGATTAAAATACAATTCAGTTTAAAGCAAACAGAAGAAATACATGCACTGGTTTCTGTGAATGCTTAACATGATAAAATTTGAGTTATTTAAATGAAAAGCACCCTTTTGGTTTGATAATCCATAGACATATCCCCCGTGTTTTAAACATGATGGCATACTTCTTTGCTCTAACATATTCCAGCAGAAGACTGTTCCATCGTGGAGTCCAAATCTACTTTTGATATTCTCTTCTTTGGATACCCTAAATTTTGACCATACGCTGTTCTACTAATCATTACTTGTCATACATTTTACTTGAGGAAAGATAACAGGTTTTGAGTTGTTTTGCAGCAACGAAACGATCAGATACCTTTTAGCCTCTTACCTTCAAGCAGCTATTTCAACTTTTACAGCACAGGAACCGATGCTTAGCCATCTTTCTTTTGGCTGCTATTATTACCAGGATTTTTAAAAAACGGGGGTTGGAAAATGTAAAAATAAATTGCCCACAAAATATGATCTAGTTATCTTGGTAACAAATAATGTAATTTCAGTCTTTAGAAAACATTTTGTATTATTATTTTGCACCAGTTGATAAACTCTGCTATTGGTATATGGGAATTTGCTCATCATACTACCGTTTCAAGTGAGGCTATGTTCCTTTCTAGCTTGGATAGATACCAGTGCTTGCATCAACCTGTATTGGGAGCGGGAGGATTCAAGATGAGTTTCAGATCTTCAAGATAACAGGGACAATACAATTTCTAAAACTGCTGTGCTTCTTGGAGATTTGATCTGTTGTATATATTGTATACAGATATACAGTACAGATTGTACTGTTCTTGTGATTGAAGAAAATTTTGAAGCATCTGAAAAATTTTGCACTTTGAAAATATTTATTTTCGATGTAACTAAAATTTATATTGGCTTGGAGGAAACTTATTCTTTCCTAACCAAACAGTCTGTATGCTAATTTAGGGCAGCTCTGCTTTATAGACTTATTTCCTCATCTATTACTTAACTGAATTCAGTATTTATATGATACTCGTGTATTTAGGAAGACTATCTCCTTAGTAACAGTCAACTCAGTGCTAGCTACAACTCCACACACAATATGGGAAGCAGTCTAAGAGTCTGAAAAACCTTTGTCTAAGGATTTTGCAGCCTGATAAACCCCACTGGGAAACTAACCTTTAAAAGCCTGTCACTAGATTTTTGCAACTTTGGAGCTACCATTTTAATTTAAACTGGCTACTGGCTGCTCTCAGAAC